CCATAGTCAACATGCAGAGTAGTAGAGACATAAGGGGAAAAAGACCATGAACAATGGCCTGTTCATTGGGGACAGCACGCATGTCATCGCGCGGAGTCACCGATAGCAAGTTCGGTATAGGTTCCTGGATGATTCTCCGTTGTGAATTCAGTCTACTACCATTTTTTGTGCTAGATTCAATGCAAGACTGCATTACCTTTGAAGAGTTCAGAGCTTCCGCGACGAGTTGTTCTTTAACCAAGTTGTTCGTCCACCTGGTATCAGGGCTTTCAGATTTTGTAGTTGTTAAATCGTTTAACGTTGTAGGTAACTTGTGACACTTTATGGAAGAATAAACGATGAAACGACGCATGCAAATGATGTGACTACCCTACACATGGTGTCGTGTTGGGTAGTATATGATTGCTTTCTTCAGCTGAGGAGTTAAGTCCATGAGTAGAGGTGTACAGAAACCAACAAGAAATTTCATCATAAATTTCATGTAGTCATCACCAACACATGTGCGTATTTACCAACACTAGTAGAACGCTCCAATTCTCACCATAGTATGAGTTCTATTAGTCTGTTTGATTTACGGTAGTGATTGACATAGTTGGATTCATCAGAGCAAAATGTTGGGAATGCTTCACATTATCATTGTGTATACGGTTGTGTACCGTAAACAGTACTGTGGAGTTTCACCCTAGTGATATGAAGAACATCAGCGAAGAACATATTTAACGACTACTGCATAGCGCCAATATCGGGTTTTCACCGAGTACTACGCCACTTCACGTTAAACGGGTCGTGAAACTCCAGTACATACTATACGCAATACGCCAACATACGTAACGAAAGTGAAGACACATTTTGTAAACGATATAGTCAGCCGCTTCCACTGAGTTCACGAATCCATCCAAGGCGCCATTTTTCCACTCGTGAGAGTTGAGTATTCTCGCTATGGTCGGAATCGTTTTCTTGGTAACCTTCAGGAATTTTCACTTCACTTCTATCAGGAACTGGGATGTGTTTTTAGTCTTCAAATTGCCAACATACGATGGAGAGTCGTAGCGAACGTTTCCCTACAGTCCGATACCTTTACTGATGTGAGTTGCGTTGAAGGGCGAGCAATAGTTAATTAATGTGATGATCTGTGGTTGCGTTGATCGCTATTACACATGCCTCTTCACGCGGTCTTATTTTAGTAAAGAGTTAATATTCTGCGCCAATCGACTCTTTTGGTTGAAGTGTTACATCACACCCTTGATGGGATGTTTTGCAAATGTCACTCACCATTCACCCGCTATCAACGAAATTGTCACTGACAACACGACGATTCATAGCATGAAGGGGAGCATTCAACTCTCAAGTCGTCGAGATTTAGTCTGATTTTCGCTGTAGTCATCCACAGCCGCACTCCGTTTCGTCGCGGGATGCTGTGAGCATACCATAACATGACGAATCAGCTTCGTGAAGTGACCACCGAAATTGTGACCACATACGTTACACAGCAGGTCATCACGTAAATGTGCCTCTCGACTTAGGATGGAGTGCAGATTCCCTGATGAATAAAAACATATGAATTTGTGAAAGAAAGTTGACAATGTGTTTTTTCACGCACGATTATATCCACAATGAACAATCGCGCATTTCCAAAGCTCACCATCGCGTTGTAATATCTCCTCCGCTTCGCTCAGCTCAACAAAGAACGGAGTGTTGAAGGAATTCCAATGCTTTTTGTGTTTAATTCGCGAACTTCTCATATCAGTGGAGATAACGTGAACGTGGAAGGGCTCGAGACTGGGTACGGCGTGAATGCCAACTTTAAAATTCAACTCTTTCAAATTCTCTTGTTTGTGTAGTTCTCCGACGAGCCATGTAGCATACTCACGAACTTGACGGAGGAATGGTAATCCGAACTCACCAGATCTGCGAGAAAAATACAAATTCACGAGTCCATGTAGAGCAGACGATATAACACGTGTAAAAACGTCACAAAACCCACAAATTTCAGGTATGAATCATCTCATCTCGAGTGAACAACTGCACCTATTTAATTAATGCGATATTATTAGAAAATGAACTATCTCAAAATTCGTGAGCGGAGCGAAGCGTTTCACGATGTGCATCAATTGGCAGTGAACTCACCTGGTTAATTGCTGTGGTGACTTGAGCTTCTTATTCGGTATTATTAGCAAATGAACTGTTGATTTTGGGTATCCATCGTATACCGTAACAAAGCCATTTTGCGATTCATGCACAATACTCTCAGCTGAGCGTGTGAGGGTGAGATACAGAGCTTTTCGCCA